TAAAAAGTACACTGCCAAGACTCTCCATTGCACCCTTGAAGGAACTAAGTGCCCCACCTTCTGTCCCTGGTATAACAGACTATTTTGAATCTAGGAGATTTATTGCTTTATGGATGATGTAAATGGCACACTATGTTTGCCATGTTCATGAGTAGCTAAAAAGGTTTGCTGTTTATTTGCAGTGCTATTGCATCTGTAGTGAGCAAAAGAGTTAGTGTGGCATAGTGGGAAAGACAGTGAGGGCTTTGCCAAGAGGTCCTTGGTTCAAATGTCTCCTTAACCAGAAACTCACCAGGTGGATTTCAGCATCTCTTTGGACTCAGGTCATGGGTCCACAACCTGTTTGGATCTATGGGCACATTTGGGAATTTGCGAAACTGCTGTGGGCACCACTACAGAATGTCGAATGAGTGGATTGCCATACTGATATCTGTGTGCAATATCTATGGATCTAAGGCTTCACCTTATTCAAGAAAAACATCTGTTCTGTGTTAATTGGACACTGCAGCATCTCTTTAAAAAGGAATGGTCTAATTCAGGGAATGGTAGGCAATGCAATACAGCTAATGGTTCTTTTTAATGTGTTAGCAGCATCTAGGATCACCACCGTTCATCATGTCGAAAATAAGCCAGGGGGGTTCTGGCACGTGGCAGATGACATGACAAAATTTCAGGGTGTGGAAGGCAGCCAGTGCAGCTTACTGAGACTTGTGAAGTGAGGCAGAGTGGCTTGTCACCATGGAAGAAGAGCCACCCAGAAACCATGAGCAGCAGTAGGATTTAACCTTGGTTAGCATGTCACAGTAAGCCATGCAAACTGCCTGGCCTAGCTCGGATATTCCCAGTGGTCACCAGAATGTACCAAAACCTGCTGTGACTTATTCAAGTCATGGGAAGTGCCAGGAGTCATGTGAACCAGATCTGTGGTCTGCTTCATACTTTCACCAGGCGGCTGACAAGCCAAGATGGCTTGTTAACTGTACTGTGTGTACCAGGGAGATTTGTGTAATTTTCCTCAGCAGTACAGAATGGGCAACTGCAGGGTTGTTAACTGCCTGCCATCCATGCAAATCCAGTTTGTAGCTTCTGCTGTCATGGTAAAAAGATAAAATATTACCTACCCAAAATAAAAGACATTCTTCCCAGAAATACTTTTTGTGTTGGTGAATAGTGGTTGGAGGGTGTCGTGCTGGCTTCATATTAACAAAGCAGACCACCCCAGTGTGTCATCCTCTACAGTGCTTTCCCCATGTTATTACTTGAGACTATGAATTTTGAAAATGAATGGGTACAATTGACAATGTCATTCTGCAGGAGTCCTGGAGATATGAATCAGAGCTGTATAAAAGCACTGCAATGATCATGTGTGATTACTGTTTGTTTTAATGGGTCTGGCAAAGAATAAATTAAATTGTGGGTGTACCAGTCTTGTACTTGGCCTTGGGGTGTCCGACAAGATCTTGATACAATTGGGTAGGAAGCTTTGGCTATTGGGCTGTATAAAAACATAATAAATATTAATTTAAAATATATACTTTTAGTCTAGCAGTTAATATACATTCTTGACTCAGTGTTATAGTTCATAAATCTCTACATTGAAAGGAACTGAGTAATTTTATTCTGATATAGCAGCTTAAGTTTTGCAAAGTTTATTTTTATTAGCTGTCTTGTAAAGGACCAAAAGGACAAATATCAACGAAGGTGAAATTGATTGGAGCAGATGTAAAGTCCTTGGAAGTACAATTGCTTGGGGATTATTTTTTCTTAGTATATCTTTTATTTCTGTACTGTCCAAGGTATTATTATTTCTGCTGTGTTCCATGGTAATTTGCAGAGTGTCATAGGAAAGAAAGACAAGTCCCTTTTTCCATGGGGTTTACAGTCTAAAAGACAATGGAGTGAATGAAAGAAAGAGCAAAGGAAGAGACAAGGATATGTGGAGATGCATTTTTTTCTGTGAGCAGTGGTATAAAAATCTTTAAAGTAAACCAGTGTGCAGAAAAGCGGTTACACTTACAGTTGGGAATGAAGAATCGTGTGTTAAGACAAAAGCAAATAGGAAATGCCAATTTGGATGAAGGATTTGAAGGAAGAGAAAAGTGGTATGATGCACATCTTCAAGAAAAGAGTTCTGTGCATAATGGATAGCAAGGAGAAATGAATAGATCCATTTAGTGGAACAAAGAGTTCATGTGAGCGGGGTAAAGGTTGAGGAGTAGCCAGTACTGATCTTGTTTCCACAAGGTTCAAGCCAAAACATGAGTTGAGTGTGGATTGTTAAATCATGCTATGTGTTAACTCAGCCATGTTAACTAACCATGGTTTGTTCATCAGAAACAAGCCAGTGTTCACAATTCAGCCGCATACCATAGCTTCTGGTTGGGGCTTGCGCTTAACAAGCCATAGTTTGGTAGCACAGCTGCACAGCAACCCATAATTCAACAACCCCCCCCATACTCAATCCACACTGTAATTATTTGAGTTGTGTGAATCTACCCAATGAGAGAAGCTGTAGGAAAGGCTGAGTAGAAGAATGAGTTTATGCTGAATACAGAAATAGATGAGCAGCTAGTGACATCCCAGGGTCCTAGAAAGGAGTTGCAGCTCAATTTTTAGAACACCTGCTTTGAATGTAGAAGATTCCAGGTTCAGTCCTGGGCAACTCCAGTGTTTGCTTTTAAAAATCAGATAGCAGGTACACACACCCTCTGCTTAACTTTCTGAGAGGTTGCTGCTTGTCAGCATATCCTGCCCTGCTTCGTTGAACAAGTACATTGACTTGGTATAATTTGATAAGGCAGCTTGATATGTTCCACTGAATAGACGGGATTTCAAGGGAACCATCACATGGTGCCAATAACTGAGGAATAGCATGATTTTGGCCACAAAGTTATGGATTCAGGTGAAAGTACAGGGTCTCAGTTTGGCCTTTCAGGGTTGCCCAGGCCCAGGCCCACCTCCTTTCTCCTGACCACCTATCATTTTGTAATTTCCTGGGTTCCGTACAGTTTGCCCCATTGTAGAGGGCTGAAGTGCATGTCATAAGGCCTAGTTACTGGTGGCAAGAGCTTTAAGACACAGTATTGTGGCATGTTTAGTCCTACCTCCTCTCCCTTTGGATCCAGCTTTTTTACCCTCAGCCCAGTCCACTTCTGGGGTATGGTCCTCTAAAAGCTTCTCTGAAATGGAATTTGTCCCTCATGCTTGAAGAGATTCATGCTTAATGTCAAATAAAGTATGTGTTTTAAATGCTGTGAAGGAGTGATTGATTCCAATTAGCCTTGGGGATATGTTGCCATTACCATATTTTGATGGATCCTGTTTGGGGTATTCATCCTAGACTCGGGTTCTGCTTTTCCTGTGGACCTAGTGAGCATAAACTCTGCATAAACTACAGTTGGACAGCAGTTGGAAAGGCTAGACATAACATCTGCTTGCATGTAAAAGCACATTTGCTGATGGACCCTGTTAACAGAATTTATGCAAAACAGAGTACTGTTCTCTCCCTAAAAATGTAGGCTAAGCAAAGAAGTCTATTTGTGCACATGGCACCATCAGCAACTTTAAAACTAAGTTTTAACACTCATCAGTGGAAGAAACCAGTTTCTTCAAAGCATTTTTATCCTGTTCTTTAGTCCCAAAGCAACCAGACTACTTGAAAGAAGAGAGCGTCTTGTATGAGCTCACCCTGAAGGGAGTGGTGGTTCCTGCTTGCTATTTGGGAGCACCTTCTGGCCATCGGTTGAACTGATACGATGTCATGGAATGTTTGCACTGAGGGGCAAGACTCTCATTTACATACATTTGACAGCTGGTGCCCCTGAAATGAGGGAAGTGGGGTGGTCTTTTGATGTCTACTTAATACTGGACCCCGGCACCTGGAGAATTGGCAAGTAGGACTTCAGCATAAGAAGCAGGATTAAAACAGGGATGGGGGCTGAGGTAAAAGGAGGTAGTGGAGGCAATTGAGGGAACGGGTCAAATATGTGCTTGGGAAAACCCCTAGTCAGAATCCAGGCAAGCTAGAGATAATGTTGGGAAAGGTGGTAAGCTGAAGATAAAACTGGCCTAAAATCTCCAGAAAGCTAGGGAATGGTTCAGAAATAAGCCATCAAATTCTTGCATTATATCTTTGGAGTCACACTTATCCTGATCGTGTGATCGGTTGTTTCGTTTAATATCTGTCAATCCATCTATCTAATCTGCCTGTCTATTTGAAAACACTTCTTACTGTAGGATTTACCTTTCATTTCTTTCCACAAGTTTGGATCTACCAACAGCAGAATTTGCTGTTGGGTGTTCAAATGCTTGCTAGATTAATATGTGGAAGTCTAGCTGAGACTTGCCTTCTTCTCTACTGTGACTGAAATTACTCTGCCTGCAGACAGCCAAACCGTTTAAGCTTTGTGTGGGTGTGGTGAACAAAGGTGAATTTCTATGTGTTTCTGTAACACAGCAATGGGTGTGGCATAAATGCCTTATGGGAGAGCACTTTATTTATGCATGCTAGCTTTATTCCTTAGAGTAGCAGTCTCCCGTCATGACTGCGCTGTGTGCTTCCCAGCCAGTAGCAAAAATGGTTCATTACGGCATTGGCATGATGTAGGAAGGGCTTCTGTTTCACAGTCCAAGGCCTAGCACTGGATCTCGAGCTGAGCTGCCTCTCTCATATGCAAGAATTCCCACTGCTGTGGGTGCAGGTAACCTCCACAGTTTCATCTGGTCAAGCAGCCCCCTCAGTTGCTGGCCAGTGGATGGGAGTAGATGCACTTAGTCTACCAGTGACCTAACAATGTGGTTTGATTTAACAGAGGGAAGTCTCACCTGGGAAAACAGAGGTGGGAAGTCCCACTCCTAAACAAGACTGCTAATAGCAATGTTCATATATTCCATGTTTTCTGTCACACTCCATGATATAAATAGAACAAAATTCTTTGATTTTTAAATTTGCACCGGTTAATGGAATAACAGTTTTTTTCCCTCTCCCTGATGTTTTTCAGCAATCTTTCTCCAATGAAGTCCATTGTGTTGAAGAAATTTTAAAGGTAAGTGTATTGCTGGTGGTCAGCATGTTCTTTGAAATCTGCTATAAAGGGTGGATTTATAACTTTCATGATTCTTTTGTTAGCTATAGGGTGAAAATTCAAAGATTGTTGTGGCATCCAAGGCAATATATTCCCTTTTTTAAAAGAGTGCGTACTACTCACCCTCAGTATTTCAATAATTAATTTTAAATAATAGAATGTGTTTATTTTTTTAAAGAATTGCTAACCACAAGTAAGCAGCTTTAGGACCACGTGTTACAGTGTGGTTTAGTGGTTAGAGTGTTGGACCAGGGCCCAGGACACTTACTAGGTGAGTTTGGCCCAATCACTGACGGTTAGCCTAACCTACTGTCTTGGATTCCTTGTAAGAGGTAAAAAGGTAGGTTATAAATTTAATAATAACATAAATAAACGTAGTATACCAGGAACTTAGTGGAACTAAGAAGTTTATTTTTACATTCAGACCGATCTCTTTGCTGGAACTCAGAAGGAACAATAAGACCTGGCTTCAAAAGCAGGAATCTCCTAGCTTCTTTAGCTGATTTTCTTGAGAAATGGGCCAAGCAGGAAGTGATCACCAAGACAATTTCTCATTACCAGTGAACAAGAATTTTGAACAATTCTATCATTCTAAAATTGCTGTTTGATGCAAAATTGTTAAAAATACTACAGTAATACTTTGATCATAAGCATATCAGAATTGCCACACTGAATCAAATAAAGGCCGCCCCCCTCCCCCGGGGTGTGTTTCTATCATTACCAAGATAGATTGACTCATAACATTCACAGGCAGGCCCTAATGGAGATAACGATCCTTAATTTTGTTTTTACTTTCTGGTACTCTGAGATAGACTGCTTCTGTACATGGAAGTTTCATTTGGCTAGCTCACTTAATCAATTATTCTTGATAGACTTCTCCCTGGATGTGTGCAATCTTTTAAAATGGCAGCTCATCATAGAATAGTAGAGTTGGAAGGGGCCAAGAGGACCACTGGGGCGAGTCCCCGTCCCTAGGGTATTTTGGCCATTTCCCTTTTGGATTTGTCTCACTGTCTCTGTCTCACTGCTGGAATGCAGCCCCAGGACACTCCTGCAGAATAGACTGTGACCCTCTGATTGAGAGATGTTCTAGTGGTAGAGAAAGTGTGTGAAAAGGTGTTATTCTCCATTCCAGTGATGACTGAGAGTATCCTGCAGGGTAGCATTTGAAGCAGCCTGCTGTTTGTATCTGTGGAAGTGTCCATGGTGCTTGCCACTGACAACAGTGTCATCAGCTGTCTTTGCCTTGTCTTGGAGGTCATTCCGGAGCTTCACCTGTTTCTAGAGAAAAGTGACTGTTCCACTTAAGTTTTTAAACTAGTTTTCAGTACAAGGGGCTTTACAGGTATCTCCAGAAAACCACTCCAGTGATTGTGTTTTTTGGAACTATACCTGAGATGTTTTTAACTGTATATCTAAAAGAGTAAATGTAGCAAATATGTATTTGCATCACACAGATGGATTAATCATGGAACCATGATTGGCTGCAGCTTTCTGTGGAGAAGACTGTCAGTAGCAAATTCAGAATGCCTCTGTGGACTTTGCAAAATTCCCCAAGCTTAGCTGTCCTGCCAGCTTCATGTTTGTGATCAGCTTTTGATCATTCTGTGGCATACAGAGGGCATCAAACCAAAATGTGGATGAGTTCTTCCACATACCATTTCTGGTTTGTGCATCTTTGTCACGGGTAAAACCTTCCCTTTCCCTTCAAAAATAGTGATGTATGTATCAGTTCAAAACAAAAACAGAAAACCCTTTCTGTATGCTATGCAAAATCCAAAGGAAAATGGATTGAGTCTGGATTCCAAACTTATTTAAAAATGCATTCTGAGTGTGCAGTTGTTTCCTGCACCCTGATGCATTTCTACCACTGCTCGCTGCTGTTGCCCTTTGACATTGCCACAGTTGAAAAGTTCGGGTGCCTTGCATTCAAAATGGAGTGTCTCTGTGTTGGGGGATTTCCTTGTATCTTGCAGCAGTGGCTGGTTGAACAATGGTATAGTGGTAAATTTTGTAAAACGAACGGATTTTAATTGCCCACTCAAGACCAGCCAACTCAAAAAGGGCTTGCACTGCAGCAGAAAACAATGTATTGCTGCTGGAGGTTTTATTTCTCCCCAGGTACTGTGAGAATTGCCCCTAAGTGCAGAGAATTCTGAGCAGGGTTGCAGGTGATCCTGCTAACAGAAAGCACTGTGAGCTCTTGATCTGCTATGCTACCAAAGGGGAACTGAGTGAAATGGGAATTAGGAGTTGACTATTGTGGTTCTCTCTTTTTTATGTTTTTGTCAGGAAATGACCCATTCATGGCCACCTCCTTTGACAGCCATTCATACTCCTAGCACAGCTGAGCCATCCAAGTTTCCTTTTCCTGCAAAGGTAAACAGAAATAAAAACAAGCTACTTGGTTTGTTTGTATAGAATTACTCTATTTATATCTCTCCGCACCTTTTTAGTATTTGTTACATTTCAGATGTGGGAAAATTGAAAATCTAAAGCAAGGATTGTAAAGATTAGAATTTCCATGGAAAATGGGGCCAACCTTTCTTTTTGCTTTGCTTTGATTTGTGTGGCTTTCAAATGTGTGTATCTGTAATCATCTGTGGTTTGGTACAATTTTGTACAGTTAACATACCACTTAAATGCGGTAAAAAAAGAACATGTCCTTTATTTGAAAGGCAGGTAACAAATTTCCTAGAAGACATGAGAATTTAATTTTTGTAGGGCAGAATATCCAGATTCATACTGTCCTCAGGCAAGTTGCTGTGAAAACGTAACAACTTGTCTAGTTAACCTTATATTTATTTACAGTGCTCAAACAAATTCCATAATGCCTCTGTTCCTTCATGTTAATTATCTCAAGAGCCCCATTCCCTCAAACAATTTTGCCTTTTCTGCTTTGCTATTCCTATTGCCCTGATCTGGCAGAACACTTTTCAATTTTACGTCCCTCACCTCCTTCAAACCCATTCTTAAAGCCACCTTTTCTGTGGGACCTTTGGCACAGTCCCTTTATCCTATTTTTTTGTAAACCACCTTGAAGAACCCACGTCATGAAGGAGTTATGTTCCTGAGAAAACAAAAATTCATCTTCAGGTCAAGTTTGTATGGAAGTCCAATCATGATAGTCGACCCTCCAGATTCACAAGGATTAGGGACATAGGATCCCCACGGAAGTGGAAAAACTTGAAGTATCTCTAGCCCCCCCCCCCGCCCCGCCAGTGCCTAAACTCACTGGTGCCTCCTGTTTGCAGCAAGAAAATGCCAAATAGATTTCCCTCTCTAGATGCGCAGGGAAGGAAGGCATGCTTTAGAGGGCTTCTTTCTCTCCTTTTACTTCCTCTATGGTGATGACAATCTTCTGCAGTAATTTTTAAAAATTAATAGGCTTGGAAGTTCTTTGTAAGTACGGGTTGTTCATAACTCAGATGTTTGTAACTTGGGGACTGTCTACATTTATAAAATAAATCAAATAAAGTATGTGCAGTTGAAACAAATATATTTCCTTGTTTAAATGGGAATATGTTCTCACATGTCTGGAGGGGAATAATGACAACATAACCCAGAAGGTTGCAAGGTGTTTAGATACAATTTTAAAAACTATAGCAAAGCTGCTTGCAAATGATGATTAAGGGTGAAATCCTAGGGCCGCTATATGCTGTCTAGGCAGTCAGTTCCCAGCTTTGGAAATGCATTGCAGAATTTGTGTTGGATCTCTGACCATGGAGCACCTTCTCTATTCTTAAAGCCGACATCGATTTTTCCATGCGAGCTGCAGCTGCAAGATGGCAGGTACAGCTTCAGAGCTGGCAGTAAAGGTTCCAGCATTGCCTCAGCCACTCCTCCTTACCAGGAGGGCCAAAAGAAATAAATGATGGAAACCAGCAGTCTGTTACTTTTTCAGAGCAGAGCAGGATACGTATGGAGGTCAACCTTGTCTCTCTCTGCCTCCTACCCTCCATTGGATGCACCTAATCCATCAAATTTGGAGTGTTCTATGCAGCCACTTTGGATGGTGTCCTAAGAGTATGTAATTGTTGCCCCTGCACTGTTGGGGCCATATATTTTTGATTGCCAATACTTTTTCCTATTACTTGTAAATAAAAGTAAAATGATCTATTTATCAGTTTGGTCTTTCCATGTTTCACCCTGCTTTCATTTTCATTTCCTTGTTTTTCCTGTGTTGAGTATTAGATTGAAAAGTCCACTGGACAGCAATCTGCTCTCCTGTAATTTGTAACACACACTGCAATTTAATGGCACTATATCAGTAATAATAGGATGGACTGTAATTATTATTCCCATATTGCAGATGGGAGGGCAGAGGCTGTGAAAGATTGGCATAATTAAGTTTAACTCATCAGTTCACAGCAGAGTTTCAGTTCCTTAGCTTCTATGCACTGCGTTAATCTTCAATTTTTGTTTTTCCTAGGAAACCCAGCATGCTGGATCAGTAATACAGAGCCAGAGTAAGTAAGATGACCAAAACTACTAATGTAGTTGCTTGGAAATAATCTGGTCTGTCCTGCTACTGTGTGTGCATTTCAACAGGGACGACGCAGAAGTTCTCATTCAAGCTGCTGAAGTTAAAGTAGGCCACACAGTAGCAGAGCCTTGGGGGCTTCAGCCCTGTGTGTGTATTGCAAACATTCTTGTGATCATAATGACTTATTCATTAACTTGTAAGCAGAGGAAATGTTCATATGCACCAAAATTGTTTAATCCTAGAGTTGCCAGGTAACCATGTTGACCTTCTAGTCCAAAATCCTGCTTGATTTAGGCAATCTAGAGAGTTGTAACTCGTGTTAGCCCTATTAAGACTAGACTCATTGAAAACAATAAGACTTGTAACACTAATGATGGACATGACCCAGAGCATCCCCAAGAGATCTTTGTTCAGATTTGGCCACGGGCCAACTCAGTTCTCCATCATTTCCCTTTCCTATACCACCAGCTGTTTCTGCCTGATCCATCTCAGATCATGTGGTGGTTTTCCAACCTTTGTGCAATCTTTTCCATTGTTATAGAAAGTGAAATTCCTCTCCTAAGGCTTGGTAGCTGTAAGAGTAAGAAGCCTTGTCTCTTTTGCTCTGGCTCTACTAATTTTACCTTTAGCCACACCCACCAAAAGGTTCTCCAGAATAGATTGCAGTTCAGGAAGAGGTTCTGAACCCTTTCTTCATGGTGAGATTAGATCACATGGCTGCATACAATTGCAGGTATGGCAGCCTTTCCCAGCTTGGTATCCTTCATGCTGTCTGGGGCTGCTGGGACTTGTAGTTCAACATATCAGGTGGTTACCTGTTTGGGATAAGTAATCTGTAGCTACGTGCTTGGCACACAAGCGTGTAATGTGCATGAGCCACATAGAAACAAAATGTAAATGTTCCAGGAGCATAACGGGAATATCTAGCAGCTATACCACTCCAATAACATTTAAGACATTTCTTGGTTGCAAAGCCAAAGAAAAGGACTAAGACGTTCAGTCTCTTAGTTATGCTTGGGCTTCCCTTCAAACAGCTTACCTACATCTTGGCCTTGCTTTATAGTATCCCAGTCAACTGTGAGACATTTAGCACCTGTCCAAAGTTTAAGTGGTTTATTTGCACGGCACTTGGTGGAATGTCTTTGTCTACCCGGATACTTCAGATCTCGACATCAGGGAGTTTCCTCCAAGTGCTACCTCAGAAGAAGTCTCAGTAGGTCCTAGCGGGGGTTTCTCAGTGGCAACCCCCTTCCCCCATTAAAGAATAAGTTCTCCATTGAGGCACTTTGTGCAAACCCTGCAGTCCTTTTGCTACCATGTAACAACTGCCTTCCATTTAATCACAATTAACAGCTCTAAACCGTACATTGGGGGCATGTAGGGTTTAACAGGTTTTTTAAATTGTCCCACTATTCAAGCTATTAAGATTTGGTTTTTAAATTTTCTAGTGAATTTAAATGATTTTATTAAAGTCTGTATTTTATATTGTATTTACTGTATTGTATGAGTTGCTGTAAACCACTCATAGAACTCTGACTATTGGGCAGTATAGAAATAACATTACTACTATTATTAATTAATTACTAACATGACTATTATTATATTATTAATACCAGTAATAATAGTGAACTTTTAATTCTCTGTTGTATTGTTACCTTGCACCTACAGAATAGAAAAGAAAGTTTTAAACAGCTAAGAATCACCTCTGTATTAATTAGTGCCCCTAGCAATGGCCAAGTTGTATGAATTAAAGATAATCTAATAATAAAAATTAAAGGGTTAGATGTGTACATAGCTGAAAATATTTCTTTGTTTACAGAGCAGTATGACGCACCTTCTAAGACGGTGTCTATTTCTCAGGAAGGAAGATCGTAAGTTTCTACACTTATCTGTGTATTTACATACCAGTCATCAGGAAAGTTATGACTTCAAATTCTGTTTTATTGAAGGAGCTTAACCATTTGTGATCTGGCCATCATTTTAGTCAGTACACTCAGGTTCTTGGTCTGTATAGCAGGTTCTTGTCTGCTGTTTCATCCAATATATCATAGCATTGCTTAGAAATAGCTGCACTTTGTGCTGTTAGAAATATAGATAGCAAATGAAGCTTATGCCTGTTAATCCTTCATTTAGATTTGTTTCCAAGGGAATGGGAGGAGATCATAGCTAGAGCTTTAGCTTAATTCATGAAAATACTGTGTAGTGATGTTTCTGCATTGTAATGTTAATGTAATATATGGAAGTGTGGACCAGACCAACTAAGAGAAGGGGTTATTTTGCTTCCCTTTGCCATTAGTTATAATGGAGATGCCACACTTGTAAAAGTAGCAGCTACAGCAAGCCCTGTGGTTGCTATTTGTGTGCATTACCACTTCAATATGGAGCTCTGTTGTACAGAGTCAAGCAGAAAGAAATGTATCTTCAACATTGGAATATTTTCCTGGCTTTCAAAAGCATTTGTATATATTCTTCATTTAAAACCCCTACATTGTATATATTTTTCAAATTTATATATCATTAGCGCCAGAAATTGAGGCTTTTGAATTGTGGTACTGGAGGAGACTCCTGCGAGTCCCTTGGACCGCAAGGCGATCAAACCGGCCCGTCCTAGAGGAGATCAACTCTGACTGCTCTTTAGAAGGCCAGATCCTGAAGATGAAACTCAAATACTTTGGCCACCTAATGAGAAGGAAGGACTCCCTGGAGAAGAGCCTAATGCTGGGAACAATAGATGGCAAAAGAAGAAGGGGACGGCAGAGGATGAGGTGGCTAGATGGAGTCACTGAGGCAGTTGGTGTGAGCTTAGGTGGACTCTGGGGGATGGTGGAGGACAGAAAGGCCTGGAGGAATGTTGTCCATGGGGTCGCGATGGGTCGGACACGACTTTGTGACTAACAACAACAACAACAAGAAGAAGCCCCAGGAAATGTGTTAGGAGCACTGAAACTGCCCCCGGAATTCCTACTGTGCTCTTTTCTTTCCGTTGAGACTTCAAGAGCCCTTGCAACACACTTTTTTGACCTATCTTGTAACTAATGGCTGGAACCATGCTTCTTATTTCAAATGAGAGGTGAGTTTCTTGGAATGTTGACTTAGATGGGGAAATCCACCTCTGAATCACACTTACTCAGAACTGCAGAATATAGCACCTGATTCAGCCTGCTACTATGGTTGAAGATAGCGTGGTTGTGCAGGGCTCCCATTGCTGGCCATGCATTAGAATCCCTGATGTTTCAGACAGGAAGGAGAAGCACCGCCTGTGTCTGCAGAGCTGCTTCTTAGGAGCACTGGCTGTGGCTTAATTTTGTGAATTCATAGGTTCATTTCCTGGTATCTTCGGTGGCAGGTGCTGCACAGACCTGAGCCCAAGACCTGCTACCTGTCAGAGCAGGGCCAGGGGAGGAAACTTGGCTCCCTCCAAAATCTTGAACTGCAACTCTTATAATTCCCAACCACTTACAGTGCGGGCTGCGGCTGAGGGGAGTTACGGTCCAACAGATGAAGACACCAGATTACCTACTGCAGGAGTAGATAGTGCTGGGCTGCATGTATGTAGGAGGAACCCTTCCACATAGTTCTGTTTTGTTTACATTTACAAGCTTACAATTTAGTTCAGTTGGTTTCTTGTCTTTGGATGTCACATATTGCCTGGGCCTTGCAACTCTTTCACAACATGTTTTCGTAAATGCATAAACAGTACAACCATGCTTCTCTGCGTATTATATTGAAGGCAGGGGTTTCCTTGCTGTTCGCTTTAGCCTTCTGATTTTAGAACATCAAGATGTTGTGAGAACATATAGTCACATGCAGGCTGCCACCAAGGAAATTACCCAAATGTTTTTGATAGTGGGACTATTGACTTCTTTTCCAGACAGTGTCACAACCTCTGTTCCCATCGGATAGCACAAAGAGAAGTCAAACGAGATGCTTTAGAGCAGCTTCCCCAATCAGGCATCCTCTGGATCATCCTCAGGCAGTGGCCATGCTGGCTAGAAATGATAGTGCAGCTCCCAGAGTCCCCCAGGCAGCATGGTACCAGGTTGAGCAAGGCAGCCTCAAATGCATACATTGAGCTTGATAGCAGGGCCAGTCCTAGCATTAGGCATAGCGAGGCGGTTGCCTCAGGCAGCAGAAGCTGGGATGTGGCAGCAAGGAGAGCTCTGGGCCATGCGACCTACCTCTCTGGTAGGTGGAGGTTGCTGTCCCATTGCTGAGATGTTCAAGCAGCATTCTGGTCAGGTTTTGTACATGAAATGAGAGCGAATAACACCATGTCCTTCACCTCAGATGATTTGGGTTGCCCTGCTTGCTGAGTCCCAGCACCTCAGCTTGCTGCACTTTTAACAAAATGTAATCAAATCACTCCTTTTCATAGATTACAGTGCGATGTCGTTTGTTTTTACAATTGCTAAGAGAGAAATGTGGGATGTGATAAATTAGTGACAATTTTTCATCTTGAAGATTAAATCTCTGGCAAGACTCGTAAGTGAAACACACACAAGTCTTATCTTGCCCGACTGTTATACCTTGTGTATCGAGCTTGATTTTTCTGGTCAGCAAATTTTCATAATTTGTCTCTGTGTTTGAGTGTTTCTAGTAAACAAAAATACTTAAACCAGCGGTTACTAGGCATAATTGCTGTAGGTGGACTGATGCCAGAAACAAGGGCGACCAGCCAAAGAACAGCTTGCCGGTTGACAGAGAAATAGTTGTTCTTCTTCGAGCTTCCTAATATTTTGAAATGTCCCAATCTCTGCTACTACTTATGCGGTTTTATATCAATTTTATTAATAGATAATTTGCTTAGAAAGAATTGTTACACAGTGCCTTGCAGATGTATTTATCATCCACCACTTTGACTTTTTTTCTATCCATTTTACACATCTGGATCCTGTGGTGTTTGCCTCTTCTTGCTGGCAAAACTCTTCCAGCTCTTTCAGGATGGAGATGAGGAACACTGATGAACAGGAACTTTCAAGTCTTCCCACAGATTCCCTGAACTGAGAATCCAAGTTATTTTGAAACCACTCTGGTGTTACTTTGAGAATATGTTTAGGGTCATTGTCCTTTTGGATCCCTGGCTGACTGAAACTGCCTTTCCTCTAGAATTGCCCTATACTTGAGCCCAATCAATTTTGCCCTCAAGCCTCACCAATTTCCCAGTTCATGCCAAAGAAAAGCTTCCCCACAACTTCATGGTGCCATGCTTCATCATAGGGATGATGTTCTCAGATCAGTGACCATGATGGCTTTGTGACACACACAGCATTTGCAGCAAGGAGAAGTTCAGTGTCGGTCTCATCCAGACAACCTTTTCCCACATATTGGCTGTGTCTCTTGCATGCCATTTTTGCAAACTCCAAATGGGCTTTGATATGGGTTTGTTTCAGCAGTGGCTTTCTTCTCACCACTCCTCCATAATGCCCAGTTTTGTGGAGCATCCAGGTAGCAGTTGCCCCATGGATGGTTTCTGCCATCTCAGCTGAGGATCTCTCTACCTTCTTCAGTGTTACCATTGACCTTTCAGTTGCTTTTCTGACTAATACCCTCCTTATCTGGTCTCTGAGTTTAGGTGGACTGCCTTCCCTAGGCAGAGTCACTGTTGAGCCATATTCTTGCCATTTTGTAGTAATGGATTTAATTGTGATTTATGGGGGATGTTTGTATGAAGTTCTGCACAATTAATCCCAAAGTTCTTTTAATAGCTGCTTGGTCTTCATGATGTCATTTGTTTAGATATTCTCTCAATAAAACGCTGGGATTGTCCAGAAACAAGTGTATTAAGTGGCACTGGAATTGTACTCTAGTGGGCTCCATTCAACTACTTTCTGTACAGTGTGTGATTTCTGGAGGCAGTGGGGTGCACCAGAGCTTCTTTTGGCATATCACAGCAAAGGGAGTGAATACTTAGGCGACCAAGAAGTGCCAGTTTGTTTTTGTTTACTTAATTTTTGTGTCACAGTAAATTTATTTTGCACCTCGGCAGCACTGAATATCCTTTGTACATCAAGTGGTGGTAACAGCAATCAAATTCATTTGAATTCCAGGTTGTAACACAACAAAATGTGGAAAAGGCAAAGACCAGGGATGAGGGTGTTGACCATTTCTGCAAGGCATTGCGTACAATGGAAAGGTGGTATACAAGTACACACATAATAAATAAGCGCCCATTTCATCTTGAGAAGGCTACATAGGCCTCGCAAGAGCTTTGCTGGGTGAGGCCAGAGGCCCACTTTTTCCAGCATCCCGTCTGTCACAGTGGCTGGCAGCTGTTCTGGGAAGCTTACAGACAGTGACCTCTCCCACTGTTGCTTCCAAGTAACTGGGCTCTTGCAGATTCCATGTAGCCATCATGACAAGCAACCATTAACAAGCTGATTCTCCATGCATTTTTCTGATGCCTTTTAAAGCCATCTAAGCAAGTGGCTGTGCCCATTTCATTTGGCAGTGAGTTCCATAAACCGCTTCCAAGCTGTGTGAAGAGGTGTTTCCTTTTGTCTGTCCTGAATCGAAAATGTTTATTGGATTGAGCCCAGTTTCTTCGGGGAAAACGGGCTAGCATGGGGAAACATCAGAGAGGTGCACAAAATTATGTATGCTGAGGAGATAGTGGATGCAGACCATATCTTTACTCTCTCATCATAAAAGAATCCAATCAGGTCACTCCATGAAGTTGATTAGTAAGATATACAAGGACTTCGTTCTTCACACAGCACATTTTTAAGCTAGGGATTTCACTACCATAAGATGTTTTGAGAACCACCAACTTGGATGGTTTTAAAGGGGGATGAGACAGGTTCATGGAGAGTGAGGCTGTCAGTGGCTACTAGGCATGTTGCTATATGCTACCTCCCATATCAAAAGCAGTATA